CAACAACCAAAGTGGTAAATCAATATTGTCCTCTTGCGGTCTCTGAACTGTATTTATCCAGAACCATCTGACTGATAGAACTCAGCCCACAGAAACAATAATTCCAGGAGTGCAGGGGCCACAATGGCCCATGGCACGTCACCAGCAGAGCCATCACAGAGGCCTACCACCACATCCAGCTCACATCCCATCACCAAACAGTCATCTTTTCCTCTTCTGCTGCCTCATCATCTTTCTCCGCTTGTTGATCATGGAGTGGAGACGTTCCAGGCCTTCTTGTAGACCTTCTCCGATGATGGCACAGGCCGGTTGGAGGTGCCATGGTGTATGAGAGCCGAGCTCGTTCAGTGCCAACATCTGTTCGACCTCACCTAGTGGCAACGCGCTGCGCAGGTCCTGCTTGTTAGCCACCACCAACACAGGCACCCCTTGGTTCTCCTGTAGCCGTGTGATCTTATGCAACTCCGTCTTGGCCTCCTCCATGCGCTCGGCATCTACTGAGTCCACTACGAACACAAGGCCATCGGCGCACCGCGTATAGGAGCGCCACAGAGGCCGGAGCTTTTCCTGACCTCCTACATCCCAGAAGTGAAAGGCTGCAGTCCGGACTTTCCCACCGAGAGTCACCTTGATCTTCTCCGTGTTAAAGCCTTTGGTGGGAACAGTGTTCACAAACTCATTAAAGCGCAGCCGGTACAATACGGTAGTCTTACCGGCACAGTCCAAGCCGAGAATAACAATGTGCAGGGCCTGAAAGGATGGCAGGCAAGGAAAGATGGCATGGGGCTCTGATAATCCATTCCCCATCTTGTTCCGCCACTCTGATGAGGATGAAAGCGAACGCGGAGACTCAGGAGACCAGGTGGCGCCGCTGCTACCGCTGATGCTTCACCAAATATTCACAAGGCTTCTCTCATTCCCCTGAGAAGCTGCTGCTGCTATAACCTGAAACCAAATGAAAAAGGAGATGATGCAATGAGGCCAGCAGTGGAGCACCATGACACACACTCAGTTTTACAGCTCTAATTTACTTGGCTGTTCATTCTAAGTAAGCATGCTTCTCTCTTTGCCACTCTAAAAGGCACACGGCTTCAACCTAGCTGGGTGTCATTCAGTTCCAGTGATGGTGAATGAAAGATGAAACAGCAGGAAGCCCATTTGCACATGTAGCGCCACAGGGCACCAGAATTACGCAGCGGTAAAAACCCTAGTGCGCAAAGGCTCCTGTCCATCTATTCTTACCATTTTATTGTTCAACAGTAGTTGCCAGTTGCAAATAGAGAAAAACGCACAATCTGGTCAATGAAAACGGGGGAAACATGAGTCTGTCGCAGATCTCTATACCCAACTGTAAAAGCGCTTAAGGAGGGGCTCATCTCCATACATAAAGGCATGAATTTGGTAATCATTTTCTCCCAACAAGTGATTAATCATGAGAATCATTATTATTTTGTGCGCTAAAAATGTTTAATGGGCATCAGAACGCTAGAGATTCATTAACAAAATAATAAAGTTACTCTAAATTACATTATTACACAGACTAATGTTATTTTTCTACAATTTAAGCTTTGTAAGCACCCGCGTATGGAAATAAAATCGCGTTCGGGACCCACCTTATTTAGTGCGATCCTTGCGTTACTCGTTAGATGAAAATGTTTACGACAATATCCCAAATATTGTAGCCATTCAGATCAGCTGAGCCGACAAGTGTCTCCACTCCCTGTAACAGCGCCTGTTCCACTGACTCTACAGCGGTGCTGCCTTCCACTTCATTCTAGCAGGCTTGGCTCCGCCCACTGTGTGGAACAACGCGCTGATTGGTTCAATTTAGTGAGCGCGTGTTATTTTCCTTGGAGTTTGATTGGTGAAAAGTCAAGCCTGTCGTCTTTTAAGACACACCTCTCCATCACCTGTTCATATCGCTCAAGGCGTTTAAAGTTTGAGAGACGCTCTTAGAAAAACCAGGAAATCAGCTCCAGGTATGGATCAGATTTGCTATTTAATGATAAGTCATCTCAGTGAATTATCTAGTTATCAGTAATTCAATTATTTAGCGGGAAAACTAAAGGATGGGTGTGCAGGTTTTGTTTCAATGCATTATTAGGAAATATCCACTTCATCCAATAAGTTAATGTTTTATTGAGTAGAACACTGCTGAAAAGATTCAGTGGGAATGAATCATTCAGACTAAATCACGAACCGATTCAGTCCGTTCTGTTAACGCGTTTGAGCAATTCATTCAAAAGAACCGACTCAAAAGAGTTATTCACGAAACGGACATCACTGGTTCCGATTATAACAGATTATTAATTAAATAGACAAAATATGTAAAACACATGATTGGTGACTATTTAAAGGGGGGGGGGGTTGTCTTGCCGCTGAATTTTAACTTTAAAAGAAGTAAAGAAAAGGTCAACATGTATGAAATGAACTGTGTTGTGAATGTAAAAGGCAATAAACAGAAGTGAGCCAGCGCTATCAAAGAAACGAGGTGTATCAAAGTGTCAGAACAATTAGTGGTGCTATCAAAACACAATCAGCCCGTGATGGACGTGCTGTCAGTCATTTACACCACACATCTATTCTTACTCCGGAGATCTACTCAATACCCGACTGCCATCATGATTGCCCGTCTTCAAACAATCGTTCGTCTGATCTTCTCAATAAACTAGTCAATTCAGTACAGATTAGTCTATCACTTAAAAAGATGACAGTAGAACCTCATTCCAGTGTTTAAATATCCAGTGGAAATATGCATATTCAACAAAGATTGGCAAATACACGAAATGCGTTTCAAAAATCATACATGAAAACTAATGATTGTTTTAAATGTCATTTTCTTACAACCGAGCCTTTGTTTTGTGGTAACAATTTTGCTGTTTTAAAAATCTGAACTTATTTTAAGTAAACATATACAATTTTTATAGATTAAACAGCACTCGACATGTGTAACCTATAGTTTTTGTTTTTTTTGTGAAACCTATAGTTTGAATGAAGGGTTATGAATTTCCAATGATGGGTTTTGTGCTTTGTGTTTCACTTGTGCTCCATCTTGTGGTATTGAAAGTTATTGAAAGTATTATTCCTGGTCATAGCTGTTACCCAGTGGGGAAAAACATTTAAAATGTGAACTAATGTAAAATATTTTAGGTTGTGAATCAAACAGTCACTTACTAAAACCACACCAGTCACCAGTGATTTATGTGTGATTTATATTTATATGAGACAGAGCAATCTTTTGTGTACATGTGTGGCTATACTAAGTGTCCTCACTCACTGACTATTGAGCCAGGGACCTCACGAGTTAAAAATGCTCATAAATGTTCCAGATGATGTTAGTCTTTAAATATAATGAAGTGTACAGGTGAGGGTTAGTTTAAGGGGTAGGGGTCAGCAGGGCAGGACTTAGGGCTTGAGGTTATGTTTGGGCCCTATACCTACACTACAAATGCCCTCAAATAGAACATCATTATGGAGTAACACAAAATACACAAACATATGCTTTGAGGTTCTTAAATAGTACAATTAATAGGCAACATATCTAGGCTATAGTCAAAGTTTAAATGTAATATTAAATATTCATTATAATATAATAAACAGTATGTGTTCTCTCAGTTGAGAGATCAAAACCCTGAAATAACTTTGAGCAACAAAGCTGATTCATTTAACTTTGCAAACGACTGAACTTTTATAGCCTGATTTAATCATTTGCTGGTCCGTGTAAAGCTAAGGAACAAAACACTGTTGTTCGGAGACCCAGCGGTTCTGCTGTTTGTTCTATTTTCTTTCTGACGGAGCAAAACGGAATTTTGTGTCTGAAAGTTACTCTGTAAGTTGTTGTTAATAGGACACTTGTTTGTGATGGGCTAAGTCCTATATCATAGGCATAGCTATGTTATAAAAACAGAAATTCATTAAATTGCTATTTTATGTTTAAAATAATTTTGATGACATTTCTTCCCCACTATGTGTAATGGCAGTAAGACGAGAGTAGATTTAGTGGAACATTAATAGGTTATAGTACTATAGAATCATCCTCTGTAAAGAAATGAGGTGAAACAATGAAACATTTGGGAATTTATCATTATCTTTCTAAATGTGCGCTCTTTGGGGCTAAAGGCTTAATGGAGCTGTTTAATGTAGCCATGTGATAAACCAATCAGTGCAGACGTGATTCAATACGTGTGTCCTTCTTCTATGTGAAATAATCATAAATACCAGTTTATGCTGTTTGATTGTGGCCTCGAAGGTCATAGTTGTAAGATGTCTGGCCCGTTTAGATCTTGCGTGCGCAGTGGAAATTCTGCTAATAATTTCTGAATTCTGACTGGCATATAACGATCAAATCAAACAAACGTATACGGTCAAAGGCGGGGCCCATGGGCTGCAGCCCACTCAAGCCCAATGGTAAGTCCGGCCATGGGGGTCAGGTTATGATTAGCCTTATATACAAACAATGGTAGTCTATGAGATGTTCTCACTAGCATAGTGAAATAATATGATTCCCGCCTTCTTTAATGACTTTAATTATGAGTGTATCATGCACTTGACCCAACTATTTGGCTGCCCATGTACAATGCATTATCATTAAACATTTAACCATTGTTCCAATATTGATTGAGTAATTAATATTGAAGATCCCTATGTGCAGGCTGGTTTTAAAATAATGTTACAACATTGTATCCTACTAGGATCAAATACTTACAATTTGCATGTACCAAATGAAGTCAATATTTACAAATAGTTCATTGGGTGTCATGAATCTTCACCCTGAAATTTGCATTTCTTAAGTGCTTGTGTGTATGACGTGTCATAGTAGTACCGTGTTGTTCCTGGATGTACCAGTTGGTACATGAATTTTAGTAACATGGTATTATCCACTTAACCATAATATTTCTACAGTATTTTGTGTGTCTTGGTGGTCAGCAAAACTACATTACATTTTGAACGTTTATTTTGAAGTATTACTTGTGCTGTAGTCAATTTTTTGTCTCTAGAGGGCTCTTGTGTACTGCATTGACTAAAACAAGACATTTTTGAAAATGTGAATTGATTATTTTATTGTACGATTTCAAATCATGCTTACAGGAATCCAGAGCAGAAATATAAATCTGTGCAAACAAATCAAAGAGAAATACACAACTTTAAGATCTGATGTATATTGAGTAACTTTACATGTTGGACATGATGGCATATTTTTAGGCGTTTATAATGGAATAGTCCAATAAAAAAATGTTTCTGTTTTATCATTCCAGTCAAGTCTATTGACTTCAGGGGTTTCACGATTTCACTGCTCTTGCCATGAGGTCACTGTCCCACCGAGAGGCGTCCCACCCCAGGAACCAGCCGGTGAAGGTGGGGGGCTCGTGTCCCTGCTTTACCACCACAACAGGTGTCCCCTTGTCCCGTCCTGATGGGTCTGTCTCAATGTAAGTATTTGCTGCAAAGGAACAAATACTTGTTCAAAAAGCTGAATTACTATATGTATTAGTTTACAAAGAGAAGACCTAATAAAAAGACTGATTTTACATAATTGTATGTTTAAAATGTATCTTTTACTTTTGCATGTGAGTATAATGTGGGTTATTCAAGTATGCTGTTAAACCTGTTCACGTATAAAGGGGTTTCAGTTTGCATTCAAATTATGTAGAAAAAAGTTTTAAGGAATGTGTGCCTAAGGCATCTCACCGGATTTTACTGACTCATTCCTCTCCACCTCATTGGCATCCTTTCCAATCCACACAAACACCTGAGAGATGAAATCAAGCATCAGTGGCACGTAACACACGCTAATCCATGAAAGTCAGGAGATATCTTTAAATACTGAAATAAAGATTGTCAGAAATCTAATCAGAGATAACTGCTGTCCTTTGAATCTTCAAGATAATCTCGGAGGAAGACATAAAGAGAGATAACTCTCTTACTTGATCCCAGACATCCAGTAACATGACATCATCCTCTGCCAGGTCATCTTGGTTAAACTCACCAGGTACTTCTTCAATCTATAGTAGTAAAAATGCATGTTTAGTGTCCAAACAACAGTTTGCCTGTATGTAGCAGTATCTGAGCAGTTAGCACAGGAAGCCAAGTCATGTTTTACATTTTCAGCATAGTCTTCAATGCAGAATTTGTATCGAAAGCAAAAGCCTAATGTGAAACTGAACTGGACTTTGGCTCTCTCTTATCAGGTCTAGGATACTCACAATGAACTTTCCAGTTTTGTTGGAGCAGGCGAACAGGCGGGGAGGATGTGCTATAGTTTTGCTCTCCAACATCTCGGATGTCTGATACTCCATCTTTCCACCCAGAGCTTTCCAGAAGTCCACTTCAAATAGGAAAATGAGCAACAAGTATGTAGAAGTTAAAAGATGTAAACATTGTTCCACTCCTGCCACTTACCAATGTGTGAGTATGAAGAGTATGAATTGATTCTACTGCACATTGCCCATACCTGGCTCATTTTCTTCAGTAATTGGCTTGATTTTGCACTTCAGCTTCTCACTCATGTATTTCGCCCCTCGTTCCTCTTCCTCACTGGCCCCCTTCCCTTTCCACAAATACCCATCCCCTTTAGGCAACTTCAGCAGGTAGGCATCATTGCTGTTCAAACTTGTTGCTTTAGCATCTACCTGTTAGACCACAAACCAACACTCTCTAAGGACATATCTAAACTGAAGTTACACTTAAAAATAGGTCAGCCTAATCAAAGATGCTCAACGCTTTTTTGGCAAATTAAGCAGATCTCCACCATCTTGGGCTAAATGATCTGCCAGTGCTAACCAGAATGACTTAGATAGTCAACCACCTAAACCAACTTGGACCAGCTAGTACTACTACTCCCCTCATAAATCCGTGTAATGGTGCCCAGGTTCTTGCGCACTTGAAAGAGGCGTGTTGGAGGTGCTGGTGCCTGTCCTCCCTTTCTAGAAGTCCCATTCTGATACACGATCAGAGGCTTGCCTTTGAAGAGACTCAGCAAATGAGGTGGTTCCTTTCCTTGAGTCACTCGCACCTGAATGGACATGAAATGGAACAATGGTAAGATAACAATACCAGTCTAGTTGTGTTTTCTTCTAGATTTTCAATCAGGGCTGCAGAGCCCATCTTATCTAGTCAGTAATCCAGACCCAGTTACATTCAGTAAATTAGTATATAGATACAATTCAAATCCCACTCACCTGAACAGCATGTCCTCCCAGCGAACGGTCCAGTTCAACAGTGAGAAAGGCTGAAGCTGTCAGTTCATCTAATGTGCTGCTGGAACCTTGCCTGAGGGTGAAAGCATAGAGCGATAAGCAATATTTGACTCTTTGTGTATGATTTGACTTCCCCTCTGGAAACTATCTACTTCTTTGAGGCTTACCAGGTGTAAATGATTCCTCCCTTGGTGTAGGTATATAAAATTATATAGCAGTCTCCTCCATAGAATTGGCCGTATGTCTCTCGGTCAACGGGAACCTTGGTATCACCTGTAGTATTACCACACTCCACCCTCCAAATCTGTGAAACAAGACCAGATTAAGAATATCTGTAAAGCATATTCACAGGTTGGAACAGATAGAGATGAAGTACAGCACACACAGAAGTCAATTTCAAATCAAGCAGCTTTCTCTTGGTCAGTACGGTGAATCTGCATGACCAACTTGAACCTGTTGCAAAATCTGCATGGTGACAGCTTAAAATTACACTTTTTTTTTTCACTGAACAACGGTAAATGTGACCACACCTTTAGAGAGCAAAAGTCATTCAGCAGCTTATCAGAATTTTATCTTCTAGTTTCAATTGAGAGTCATTTTGAAAGTAAGATGCTCATCTGCGCCTATGCCAAACGTCAGCAAAGTTTAACTTATATAATCTCTGATCTCTTGTACACAAATTGTGACCTGTGTTTTTCCAGTGCCGTTGTCAACCATGTTGTACTGAGCAGCCATTTGATGGGACTCGTGCAGCTTGGAGGCATCAAACTGTTCTTGTTCAATCTTGGCGATCCGCTCCATGACAAAGACTCTGCCTAGACCCTCAGCCTGGTCCTTGTCTTTCCAGCTTTTAAAGAACTGCTTATAAATGTGCGTCTCTCCACCCTCCGGAAGGACCTGGATCTGTGTACAGGGTGAAAAGACCTGGGTGACCCAAAAAAATACTATACATTTTCCTTGTCAGAAAAAGAAATGTGCAAAAATTTTATTCAATTATAATGTAACAATTATCTACCACAAAAGGATGCATATTAGTAGGCATAATATGTACCCTAAGTTACTACTATGAACCTTTTAGAGCAGGAGTGTCCAATTCTGCTCCTGGAGGGTTGACATCCTGCAGATTTATCTCCAACCAGCTCCAAAACACTTGCCTCGAAGTTTTTATTGAGTATGAAAACCTTTTTTAGCTGTTTTAAGTGTGGAGCTAAGCTCTGCAGGACAATAGCCCTCCAGGAATAGGTTTTGACACCCTTGATTTAGGGGTAAATAAGGTACAAAGTTGTCCCTTTAAGTGTACTGCTCCGAAGACAAGCTCTTGTAAATTTTTTGCATATTTTGTTTATGCCAGTTTTGCTATGGTGATTCACTCATTCAAGTGAATATAAATGATAATACCGCAAAACATATATGCATATCTAATGTTTCTGAACCTGGGTATTGGCAGGATATCCCATCTGTTTAATGAAGCCCTCAGCTGTTTTCATTGCCTCCTTCCTTTCATCTGGATTTGCCTTGCGGCCTAGATCATCAAAAAATAAGGTAAAGGAATCTCAGTAAGATGGTTACACAACCCCTTAATTTAATGGCTTCAGTTTACTAATACCTTTCCACACAAAGATAATTTTGCTTTTTCCATGGTCCAGAATGAAGCATTCCTCAGACAACAGGTCACTCTGGTTAAACGGATTTTCATCTGACACAAGCGACACTTCCATTTTCCCTGTTGCATCTGATACCTGTAAAGTGCAATTGTATTGAAATAATATTACATTTCCATTGTGTGCGTGTGTCTATTGAATTTGCATATAGATGAGTTAAAGTGAAGTTTATAGACTTGTTTACCATGTAAAGTTTGGCCATTTTCCTGTTTGACACGTCTGCAACCACATCCTCATCATCGTCACCTTCAGGGATTTCAGTCTTCTCACCGAGAACCTGTAATGTGCAAAGACGAGGTATAAAAATGTCAAACCTTCCAGCTAAACCTGATATCGTACTGCCTATAGCAAACATTAGGTTAACTGTAAAATAGTTAGTGGTGAAAGATCAGCTCTATCAGTAAAAATAAGCTCTAAAAAGTTCTTCCGGATGGTTAAGATTGGGTTGCATGCAAATTCTTTTTTACTTAAGATGTTTGAAGGGCATTTTTTTTTCATACCTTCATCATCTCTGCAGGCTCCTGTCCTTCCTCTACAACCACCAGCTTGGCCCGTCCACTCCTCTCGTTGTCTCGGATACCAGTAGCTACCTGTGCAGCTTTGAGGCGCTCAAACTTGTTGCACTTAGACCCACACCATTGGTAGATCACCTAGTTTCAGAAATTTGTTTAAGTGGTGGCAATCCTAGCAATATGTGCTCATGTTTGTTACGTGTATAATAGCAGACTTCCTAGGAAGACATTTGCCTCTGTTTTGTTCTTGGCAATTATGTTGGTGACAAGATTTCTTAAGAAATAATTTTTGTCACCTCTACCTTTAAAAATGCTACCATATAGTTGTTTTTACATTTTGTCATTGTGGAATGGTATCAGTCAGGATTTGTCTGTTCTGTTTATTTGTCTGAGGTCTGTAAATTCCTTTGGAGAAGTGAGAGAGTACAGCATTAAGTGTGCTGTCAAATACTTTAGTCAAATGGTATCGTCACATTTAATCTTCCTGCAAATTATTCTATGTAACTAATGGTCAGTAAGAGCCTGTTAATAGCTTAAAAGATGCATCTGTTTTTAGGCATGAGACGTGGTTCAGCCCTTGTGCTCTCATAACATTTGCTCGACACAGTATGTTGACAGTCAAGTAATTTGACAGCAATCCAACTATCAAACCCACCCAAAGTGCATACAGAGAGGATATTAAATACACGCTGCACAAGTGAACCAGCCAGTTATTGTCTATGGGAAATGAAGACACATGGCATTTCTTATGGGATTCTATCTGGATTATCCTAACTGAGACCATACTTATTTTATTATATTTGTACTTTTTATTATTATTATTTTATGTGTTAACTGTGAAAGGTTTGAAGGGTTGAAAGGCTTGTATTACTCAAAAATAATTATGAATTTGGTAAGTCATTTAACAATAAAAGGTGATTCCCCTCCTTAATTAAGTTATCAGTCATCATTTACTGCATGGTGTTTTGCGGTGATTTTGAGATTTTTTGCAAAAAAAGTACTTAAGGTTTGCACAAACTATTGATTTCAGAAGGCTTGGAATACAGTGCATACGTCATTATGGATGTGGATCTCTTTTTGTACAGTGTACAGTGTAGATATTCTGCTAAATAATTCCATGACGCTGCACAAGTGAACCAGCCAGTTATTGCCTATGGGAAATGAAGACACATGGCATTTCTTATGGGATTCTATCTGGATTATCCTAACTGAGACCATACTTATTTTATTATATTTGTAGTTTTTATTATTATTATTTTATGTGTTAACTGTGAAAGGTTTGAAGGGTTGAAAGGTTTGTATTACTCAAAAATAATTATGAATTTGGTAAGTCATTTAACAATAAAAGGTGATTCCCCTCCTTCTTAATTAAGGTATCAGTCATCATTTACTGCATGGTATTTTGCGGTGATTTTGAGATTTTTTGCAAAAGAGTACTTAAGGTTTGCACAAACTATTGATTTCAGAAGGCTTGGAATACAGTGCATACGTCATTATGGATGTGGATCTCTTTTTGTACAGTGTACAGTGTAGATATTCTGCTAAATAATTCCATGGATGTTCCACATAAAAAAAGTCTAAGTCTAATCATACATTTGGAGTGACATGAAAGGGAATGGATGTTGACAGAATTTTCATTTTTAGGTTAAATATCCTTTTAAAAACACATAACACAGCCATTTGTATGTTTGTTGCAAATCTTACCGCTCCCAGATTGCATTTCCCTATTGCAGTTATTTTCTTTTGCTTTTATCAAACCATGTTAATTAACCTAAATGACTCTATGATGAAAATTAAATTAACAGTAAGTGCTGTCTGAAGTGGTGTGCCAAAACTCTTGAGTAGTAATCGTAAACTAGAGGGCATATGACATTTGTTCCCCTAATGAAGGGGGATTTCATCTAAAATAGCTAAAACTACATTAATTTATTTACATTTATAGATAAGTGTCTACCATTTGGAATAGTAAATATGCCAAAGGATTTACATATATATCTTTCACTTGGATGTTATAAGTTGCACTGAGTCAATACAGTTGGATAAAACAAAAAATGTGTCCATTTCAGGCTGCAAAGCAACAAAATGTGATTATTTTAAAGGGGGTGAATCTTTTCTATATACACTGTATATGCACGCACATCTACCACAGTTAGTTAAAAAAAAAATTAGCATTAGCATTATAAGAAATTTAGCATTAAAACCTTTTCTGAGGGCATAAATACACTTGTACATGATTAATAGTAGATGAGATACTATGTCACAGCTTATTTTGCATCAATATTGTAGATCATAAATTAGGTTGAAAATATTTCAGCTGTAGTTGAAAAAAGTGATTCAATAAGATGGGTGGGGTTGAGGTTAAATTAGGTTAGGTAGAAAATTTATTTAATAATGCTAATGTTATATAGTGGTAATGTTATATGAAGATCTCACTCTCAATCTCATGCAGCAAATCCTTCACTGACACATGGTTTACCCATGTGACTAACAAGGAAACATTTATTTTGAGGGGACAGCAAATTTACACTGTTATACAAGCTGTACACTCACTACTTTACATTGTAGCAAACTGTCATTTCTTCAGTGTTGTCACATGAAAAGATAGCAAATAAAATATTTCAATTTATACTTTATTTCAAGTTTGTTTTTATGTCATTTTTTATGGTTTTAGTTTTAGAAGCTCATACATATTTTATCATATCATATATTTTTTGTCATATTTTAATGAGGTTACTATTATTTTAAAATGTGATAATCATAATAAGTAGATGTGTTTTAACATTTCAGTGGTCGTTCTTTACAGAAACAATAGAATTTATTGTCACTGAGCATCAAGTTTCATTTTAACTGAAAGTGAGACCAGTAAGCAATCTGTGTTCAAAGGAATGTTCCAAAACACTTTAATTATAACTTTAGTCTAATCAATAGTATTTGTGGCATGTTGTCAAATACAGCAGAAAATATTTTCTTGTACAAGGAAAAACAAAACACGAAATACTTCTTGTTATGCATTTCCAAGGAAATTTCTCTGGGTGAAGTTTGTGCCAAGTTGTGCTTTACACATAGTTTAATCATGACAACTCTCGAAAGATTTAACATGGTGATGGATATGACAATGTTAATGTGTTTGGTCTTGGCAGAACAGGTCTGCTACGCTGCTGCTGCTGCTGTTGGTTATTGCTGTAGTTGTAGATTATTGCTGCTGCTGCAAGCAAGTACAGGATCTTGCTACTGCCAATGCATACAGTGATACAGTGCCGTGAGTATTTAAGACATATTGCTGCTGCACAAATAGCATATAAAATAACCCGTAGCAGATCTATACAGGTGGAGCTGGGGAAGGGGGAGGGTTTCAGAGAAACTCTCAAGGCGCATGTTGAAGTACTGAAATAACTCAAATTAAACATTACATATGTTGCTCTAACATTACTTGCCAAGTACATACAGGTTTCCAGTCTACAAATACTTTTATAGAGAGAAATAAAGTGTAGAATGAGTGCATGCTATTCATTTATTTATACAACAGTTCTTTCTGGTTCTTGAATCTGATTGGCTGAGAGGTCTTTCCAAGCATTAGATATACACCCAATATGAACATGGGAACCATTTCTCCATTTGTATCACTCCACTTCATCTTGTGATATTGCCCGTATATATAATACACGTTTATATTGTAAAATAGTAGCATTAAATAGGTTTAGAAATTGACTTTTAAAGGTGTTTTTAATCAACCCTTACGAAAAAGAAGTTTATTCAAGTGTGCTATTACTATACTTCTTTTAAACAAAAAAATAGGAAAGTATACTTTTAGTCTACTTTTTATGTACTTCTCAGAAATGGGCTTTATGTACTTCTCAGAAATATACTTAAAATGACATTTAAGTATACTTGACTTATACTTAAATTATATATATAAAAGTCTAAATATATTTGAGCTATAAGAACAGATACCCTACAAATTAACACCTAAACAGGGACATAATAGTCTACTTGCAGTATAAAACTACTAAACTAGTAGTTTACTGAGACTATACTTCAAAGTGTACTAAAAATGCTACTACAAGTATTTAATTAGTAAACTATCAGTATACCTATAAGTTCACTTTTAGTATAGTTGCAGTACAAGCTAAAAATTTTGATGTAAACTAGTTGTGTACTCAAAGTTTACAACTGTTATACTTAAAGTATTCTTTTATATACTAGAAAGTGGGCCAATTTAGTCCCAAGGAGTATTGAAATAGTACACTTACAAGTATACTACTAGTACACTGATATTTGTATACTTACTACATAAATTATACTTAAAAAATATACTTGAACTTTACTTAAGTATACTTACTAAAATAAACTTGAAGTATACTACTTTTTGGTAAGGGAAGTGCTCAAGCAAGAGACTCAAGATTAAGGTTTGCAGCGCATTTCATGTTTTTCAAAAAGAGTTAACGTTTCAGGTTATTTCCTCTGTTAAATTGTTTACTTTGTCTTCTCAGACTTAGTTCAAAAATAAATGGTCCAAGTTAATAAAAAAAAATGAATGTAGTAAGTGTGTATTGTGTGCCTTCATATAAAAATATGAATGTATCTGAAATATACAATGATGTTTCATCAGGGCAATATTGTAATAAAATAAGAAAATACCTTTACACCTTCTAAAATTAATTTGTTGTATTTGTAATTCTTTTTCTGACATTTAGTAATAAAAAAATAGACAACTGACGCAAAAGAGGTTTATTTAATGGAAACCAGTCAGCATCGTGTTATTTCAGTGTATCTCTAAAGCAGTCCAAACCACTTTTCTCAAAAATCACAAGTGTTACATATAAACACGTATCACCAGCGGTTGTTATGAACTGCATAAATGCCACGTCATGTTAGCAGCCACTTCTATTACAGAGGAAAGAGGCCATCTTTAAGCTAAAATAATCTGTGAAGCTTTTTTTCAACATGATTAAAATGTTTCAAAATTTTAAGTTCCATTTTGAGAAATGTTAAAAATGTTATCAAAGTTCTCTCAATCTAAACATCACATCTAGTGAACATTAGGGAATCTGAGGGAATGATCATCTCATACTATCCTCCATTTTTCAAGCAGGCGGATGCTCTCAGTTTACAGTGATTGTTGTTCCATGTAATTAGTGTGTTATCAGTTTGCATTTGGAGGCAATTTCTCATGGAGAGATTGACAGATTAACAATGAGAAACGCTGCTATCAAAGTCCAAACAAAAAAATAAATGGTCCAAGTTAATAAAAAAAATGAATGTAGTAAGTGTGTATTGTGTGCCTTCATATAAAAATATGAATGTATCTGAAATATACAATGATGTTTCATCAGGGCAATATTGTAATAACCTTCTAAAATAAATTTGTTGTATTTGTAATTCTTTTTCTGACATTTAGTAATAAAAAAATAGACAACTGACGCAAAAGAGGTTTATTTAATGGAAACCAGTCAGCATCGTGTTATTTCAGTGTATCTCTAAAGCAGTCCAAACCACTTTTCTCAAAAATCACAAGTGTTACATATAAACACGTATCACCAGCGGTTGTTATGAACTGCATAAATGCCACGTCATGTTAGCAGCCACTTCTATTACAGAGGAAAGAGGCCATCTTTAAGCTAAAATAATCTGTGAAGCTTTTTTTCAACATGATTAAAATGTTTCAAAATTTTAAGTTCCATTTTGAGAAATGTTAAAAATGTTATCAAAGTTCTCTCAATCTAAACATCACATCTAGTGAACATTAGGGAATCTGAGGGAATGATCATCTCATACTATCCTCCATTTTTCAAGCAGGCGGATGCTCTCAGTTTACAGTGATTGTTGTTCCATGTAATTAGTGTGTTATCAGTTTGCATTTGGAGGCAATTTCTCATGGAGAGATTGACAGATTAACAATGAGAAACGCTGCTATCAAAGTCCAAACAAAATAAATAGATTGAAGCATTTTACTTTTACCAACTTGTGCGCTATATACACTGACATCCCCTTAGTAGTCTCTAAATATACACCCCCTCAGAAGGCAGCGTCATGTAATGCCACCTCTGAGTCTGAACCAAATCTGTGGAACGAGGCATTAACAGGAACCCATTCTTCTAGAATATTTCCATTGCCATAAACTCCTATTAGGATGTTTGGGTTAAGACTGATCCCATCACTGAAACTGTAATGAATATCAGGTTAGATGTAGAAATAAAAATAACCCAAAGCACAGTTGGTCATCAAATATATCATTACATCACTTTAGAGAGGATTTAAATAGGTAGTGCTTGAAAATAAGGGAACTTTGTCAAAAAGGAATGTGCAGCGAACAATTCAGTTTGGCAAAGTGAACTGGAATGAGAACTACGAGACCTCGCAATGTTCATATTGCTTGGAGAACATGGACAATAAAGTGCATCATTCGTGAATTGCAAACAGCCTGACATATAGTGGTTAACTGGCAGAAGTGCAGTAAACCCTCAACCAGTTTTGCCAAAACAATGACACATGAAGTGGAGCGGTGAGGGACAGGGTGATGTGTTAAACTATCAGGCTCAGCTCTAGCCTCCCAAAGGGGTATTCAGAGTGTACTCATGCAGAGCAGTAGTGTTTTCTCCACAATCCACATACTGGTACATCTCCTGAGACACCTGCTCAGCATGGCCAAAGTACACGGTAGTGACAGTTATCCTGCAAAGCAACAAGCCAAGTTAGTAACAAGTAAACCAAGCTCATTAACCTGATTGGACAACAATTACTCGAACCTGCTTTTCCTGCGTGAGCACCATTGCTGAACATGTTTTGTGTCCATAGTGTTAAGACATATGCTTATTTAATTTATTTTATAAATCTACTTATATATAATAATTTATACATTTATACATGTATTGTTAAATATTTCCATTCCATTTAATTTAAAGGGGTCATATGATGTTGTTAAAAGGAACATTATTTGTGTATTTGGTGTAATGAAATGTGTTTATGCGGTTCAAGTTTCAAAAAACACATTATTTTCCACATACTGTACATTATTGTTTTTCCTCTATGCCCCACCTTTCTGAAACATGTCGATTTTTACAAAGCTCATCGGTCTGAAAAGCGAGGTGTGCTCTGATTGGCCAGATATCTAGTGCGTTGTGATTGGCCGAATACCTCAAGCGTGTGATGGAAATGTTATGCCCCTTGCCATATTGTGATGCCTTGTCCCGGCCGGAGCGAAGAGACAAAAACATTAAAACCTATTATAAACGAGGCATTTGTTACATCCAGTGGGGACGTAATTACGGATTATAATGACTTATACTGCTTTTTACGCGTTGCGTTGCATTGCAAATTCTTTAAATATAAAAAACGTACTTACAGTCTGTGAGTCAGAACAGCCGGCACTGTAGTCTACTCTACCAGGATCAGTAAACAGTCCTCCATAAAATGCGCTGGACACATCTGAATATTTGGGTTGAACTGTTCTGGAACAGTGTTGTAAATACAACTTAACCAC